GAGCCTGGCCGAGAGAAGAGCAGCTGCAGCGTCATGCAATTAATCGAATGCAACGATGCCCCGCCTGTAATTGGATCTAGTATGCTAGTATCCAGCAATGCACCGATGAAAAGTGAACGGGAGCGTTCAACCCTTCCTCCTCTCTCGACCCCCATGAAATTTCCACGAAAAGATCTCGTACTCCGACGAGACGAGGAAGCAGCTCGAACCGAAGAAAAAGAGAACGGGCAAGGATGTGAAAAAAAAAAAAAAAAAAAAAAAAAAAAAAGAAACGAGCGAAACAGCCAGTTCGCACTCTATACGCGGTAAAAAGTTCCATGCTAACGGATATTTATCATCCCGTGGCCTATCCCTTTCCCTCCCGGCTGCTCTTTTTCCTTCGTTTTTACCCTGTCCGCGGGAACTTTTTACCCCCGGTCCTCGTCTTATATTCCTCGCGAGCTGGCGAGGGTCTCAGCGTCGTTATCTCGACGATATTGCTGAAATTGTTTCGGCTGGAACGGGGACGAGACGACGGCGAACTCGCGAAAATTCATGGTGCTCGTTTTCCCTCCCCGGAAACTCGCGTCCTCGACGAACACGACCTAGCTACTGCTGGTTCGGGAGGTGAATTTATAAAACCCGTGGAGGAATCGTGATCCATAAATCGCGGCCGCGTATGATCGTGGTCGTTCAACGTGGGCACGCGTGCCCTCGTAAATTTCGTCGGTGGAAGTTGGCGAACGTCGCGACGGAAAAAGGAGTGGGGGTAAAAAAAGAGTAAGAATTCGCCCGGTACAACTGGGCTCTCATTAAGGCACGAGGAGAGCTCCTTAGGCGTCGATTCCCAAGGCGCTCGTTTCGAAACGGGTCGTCTCTAATATGGCGCCGCTTTTCCACCGGTGTCCACGTTTATTTTTCTCGAACGTGAACACTTCCAACTCGTTCTCCGCACTCAGATTAGAATCCCCCCGCAAACCGTCATCGCGGTTTGTTGCCTGCAGGGACTAATTCTAGAGATTGGGACATGTGTAATCGCAGGGAATTCGACGAAGACTCGAAAGACACTCTCCGACGTTCATTCCGTGCCGAAGACCGTGATCGTCCGACGATAACCGTCCTGAGTGATCTACGCGCGATCTAGATCGTGGCCATTAATCGCTTACTCGATCGCGACGACCCCGAGAGAACCAGACTACGCCCACGCGCGGAGAAAATATTCGATCCAATATGTTACACCGGTCGGAATACGGCATTCCGACCGTTAATATGATAATTGACCCGTCGACCGAACGTCTGGCGAGAGATCGAGATCGAGATCGCGATACAGAGCGCGCGCGCGCGCGACAGGAAATTGATTCAGCTTCCTCAGATTCGTTCGTTAACGTTCCACGCACGTGGAGATCCGTTTGGATGAAACTCCCTCGAAACGTTGATCGTTGTGCGGCCTCATTCTAATTTAACGATCCGATTCTAAGAGCTTCGCTGCACGCGAGCAAGTAGCGAGTCGAAAAGTGAATAGGAAAGAAAAGCGACGAACTGAATTTCCACGGCGACGATTCTCGTCGTAGAGGCGAAATCGAGTGAATGGGTGGGAAAAGGGTGTTTCCCCGGTGAATCCTCTCATTCAACCGGTCGAAATTTTATCTCGCCCCGCCGCCCCCCTCTCTGATGTATTCTCGGTGAATGGAAACTCTCGCGCGACACGTGTGACGTATCGCGGTATCTCTGGGGTTTGGTCAGCATTCGACATCAAAGCGGCTACTCCAAATAATTAGTCGCCCCGGAGCGTCGCTGACTTTGCTCCGCTTTTGTGCACAGGCGTCGCGAACGAGTTCAAAGGCTCGAAAGGATTCAAAGAGCGTCAAGGGACCACGAGCGAGGAAAAACGGGATGGAAACAGAAAAAAGGAAATATATGTATCTACTGTGTATCTGGATTTAATCCATTACACACTTCCCTTTTTTTTCTCTTCTCTATCCTCTCCGGTTCGAAATCGACCAGTGAATAAATGATCCGGACGGTCTGGACGCGTCGTTGAATTTTCATCGATGGCCGCCAGTGGAGGAGCGCAACGATTCCCTAGCTAGCTTGCTGCTTGCTTGCTTTTCATTCAGCGGAGATCGCGCTGGATAACGCGGTCGTTTCATTCACGGTGAGCCACGCTCGGAGAAAATCGCGTTCGGGAAAGGAAATCGCGGTGAATTATGCGCGGAGTCGTTGGTATTCCTATGTAGTAGGACGTTTCTAACCGCGTTTTCTACAGCTTCGTCTAATTGCTCGGTCGTCGCGTCGACACCGTTCAGAGCGATTCAACGGGAATCGTTCTTTCGTTCCGACGATTGAGTCATCGTCAGCTCGGAGTCATCCGGCGATTTGGAATCCACAAACTCGAAACCGCGACCATACAAAATCTTCACAACATTCTAAATACCGAATGTTTGTGATGTTATTTATTTTATTACGTAGTGTAGGGAGATCAAAAAAGAGGGCGTTTCGTCACGGGAATCGTCTACCAAGACTTGTCAGTGGGACTGACGGTAGATGACCTCTAACCTAGACGCCTGGGTTGCTCCTCGGCAACCCCTTAAGTAGCCAAAGACTCTAATTACCGAAAATCCAAGTGACTGGGAGAAACGTCTCCACACACCGCCTGTCCCAAAAGATCTCCTACAGTAGTAAGTACTTATAAGTCCAAAACAATTGGGTTAATAATTTGGTACAGTACAGTCTCATACACAGAATCTGTAGCTAATCTTAACGCGCTCAGTTTAATCGATTTTTAACCTTCTGTTTGGAACGAAGCAGTCAAAACGGAAGTTCCCCGGTCGCCATAGATGATGTGCGTTTTCACGGTAACTTCCAGGGTGTCCAACCATCAAAATATAATAAGACTAGATAGCGATTTTCTGTCTCAACAGTCTGCGCTTCCAGGGCAATCGGAGTTTCTTGCGAAATTTTCACCCCGTTCGGCATCCTACCAACGGACTCTGCTCGCTTATCTTTCACCATTAAAGACGCGTAAAGATCATGGATAGTAATTTACGTGAGAACATCGGCGGTCGTCGCACGTCGTAAATCGTCGAATTACGAAGAAAAATGAAAAAATCAGAGAACAGCTCCGCGTAGGGACCGCGCCTTGGAGCTGTCCGTAATAAGGTGCACGGCGTGCACAAAATTCCAGGAGAAAATAACATCTCATTTCGTCGACCAGCACTAGACTGTTCTCTCTCTCTCTCTCCCGTAATAACATGCAATTTCACTGGCCGTGTACTTCACCCGGGCTTGATCGATTTTTCTTATTGTTCGTCTACCTTGCCCCCGAGAGATTCTCGACCATGTTCGAGAATTCCTATCAGGTAGGAAGGCGAGACGAGAGAGAATACTCGAAAAAGAGAATTCCAAAATCGTTGGGTATCTTCTGGCAATGATGAAACGCGAGCCCAGTTCCGAAAAAGGAAAAAACCAGAGGGGGTCCGCGAGCGAGGTCTCTAACGTCGGATCGTGACACCGAGAGGGGGCTACCGGGGCTACTCTGTGTACCCTTCTCGCCAGAGGGGGTGAGGAGAGCAACACCGAGGAGGAAGATTGATCGCGCAGTGAGGCTGCATCGCGAGTCGCATCTGCCGCGCGCGCTACCCAGTCACTCGGGGGCCAGAGGGGGTGGAAGACAGACGGACCGAGAAAGAGAGCAGGGGAGAGAGATAGAGAGCCCGCGGGGAGAGGCTCCGCCTTCGGTTGGCGTGTGCATTTGCGCAAGATGGCGGCGGTCGCGCGTTTTGCACGACCTGTGCGCCGCTCCGAGAGCTCGAGGCACCGGACCCTCTTCACCGTTCGTGGCGCAAGAGCTGCCTCGGGAGCGAGACGGACCGACGAGGCCGCGGCGGAGCGAGTGGGACAAGCCGCGGGGGTTGAAGACGAGAAACCGGTGCTGGCCAGCTCACGAGGCTAACGGAGAGAGGGGTGTGTGCGGAGCAGACGGAGGAAACACGTCGAGTAAATGGGGATAGAACGAGTTGGAAGATAGTCGAAAGCGAAAACACGGAAGAGCTACCGGGTGCTAAAGGGGATGACCAAATTTCACGAATATTCGGAAAGACAGTGGAAAAGATTATGGATAGGGGATAGAAAAAAAAACACGTAGAAACGAATAAAATCATGCTGGATAAACTCGTGCGACGACGACGGAGGTGGTGGAGGGGGCGCAGAGGGAAAAAGGGGGAGGAAAAGAGAGGGTAACCTACAAAAGCAGCGCCTCCCGCGTGGCCTGCAATTACGTATGCACCTCTCCGAGAGCCCGTGGGCTTCGCGGTTGGCTGCGCTTCCTTCCTGTCTGCCGCAACCACTGTGTGTATTATGCATCCCGATCCGTGGCGCGTCCGCCTATCTTGTTTATTTTTTTTTAACCTCGCTCGCCATCACCTCGAACCGCATGGCACCAGTTTCGTCGATCGATCACTCGCGGGACAGAAACATCCTCCGGGAACCGTTCGTTCCTCCGACTAACGAGTTTCTAGCCCGAGACTCGAGACGGTCGCGAACGGGCGAAACGTTTCGACCGTCGTTCACCACCCCCCAAATGTCTGTGTGTCCCTGGAAATTCGTTAGGTTTCGCGTAGACGGGAAAAAATCCGTTTGCGGTATGTCTCGAAGGGTCAAACGTCGGGACCAGAAAGAAAGAAAGAAGGAACAGAGAAGAGTCGTAAAGAAGTCACGGTGATTCGGTCCAACCGCGGTTCCAGCGACAGATAGAGATTTGATTCCGATTAGGGGCGCTGGTTTTTTGGCGCAGCACGAGTTAACAGAGGGCCGAGTATGATCCATGCGCGTCGGCGAGAATCAGGGATATCGCGTTCCAGAGCCTCTCGACCAGATCCGACCCAGCTGTATCGAGTTTCGTGCCTCCTCGTGCACTTTTTGGCTCCTTTCCCCACCGAATCCAACCCCACCCCCTTCTCCTTTTCTTGCGCTCGCTACTTTTTTCACGCTTGGCCAACGGACAATGAACAACGTGAAACGCGACCAACGACCAAGAGCCAACGAAATTAGCCTACAACCACGACGAACCCGTTCTAAAGTCGCATTCGTTTCCAATTACCTCTGTACTGTAGTCCCTCTCGTTTATTAGTTTGCTCTCAAGCTTTCGTCACTTCGATCCGGCTAATTGCAATTCGCGCATCGTCGACGAAGAAATAATCCCGCTCGAAACGAAACGTCATTTGCCAAAGCTGTCGAGAGAGGTCCAAGAGAGAAGGGACAGAGGCCGTTTTGGCGCACGCGGTTCTCGTTCGCGTGCTCCAAAGTGGATAATCGAGGCTCGATCGTGATCGCAGGGAGAACTCGAGATTAAGAAGGCGCCGTATTAGTTTTCAATCGCCGTGATAGCCTCCGACACGAGCCCGCCTACGAAAATTGCGATAATCAACCGGGCTCTCGATGAAAACCGATACACAGAGGGAAGACTGACACTTGCGCACACGCTTGCTCGCGACCACCTACATAACAGATCCATCTCGATTATTGTCCGGCTTGGTCTACACGATTATTGTCCAGGTTTATCCCCATCACTGGGGCGGGTGGAACCTATCGAACGCATACTTTGTAGCCCCTCCACTTTTATTTTGCCGATATGAAACATTTCTCCCTATACGATTATTGTCCTGAACAGAGTTCGGGTCGATAATCGAGAAGAATCTGTACATACTTCAAAACAATTGCTTCGTTGTAGATCGAAAGCTGAAACCGAACTCTGTACACGATCACCGAAACAAGGTCGACGAATTATATCCGATCGGCGTTCCGAAATTCGTCGCCTGGACGTAACGCGAATTTCCAAGAATGCCTCGGTAGGCCCCCGCGTAGGGTCAATCGAACGGCGACGTAATTAAATATCCTCGTGGTAATTAACCGTAGGTAGACCGAGACGTCGTTAGTCGATCGTTGAACCGTCCAGTCACGAGAGACACGCGAAAAAAGGAGTCGGTCGGCGCGTGTGCGCCTGCGATGGCCGCTGTTGTCGGGCTCTTTTTACGACCGCTAAGGGCGCAAGGAGACTTTGGTGTTCCCGCTAGTCGGTTCTTTGCGAGGTTCGTTACACACGGTGTGTTCCCGTTCGTTCGTGAACCGTAAAAGTCGTCGAGGAAAAACGCAATCGCGTCGTAAATGATCGTCGATGTTTCGTAAGGGAAACAGTTATCTTGTTCGACGAAAATGATGGAAGAAATGGTCAACTTACTGTGTGCATAATGCGCGGCTGCCGCGGCGGCGGGATGATGCGCGGTTGGCCCAGCGTGTGTGTAGTAGCCCCTATAGTCTGTGGGATTGCCAACGACACCAGCGACTCCAGCACCTCCCGAGGGCGGTTCCAGCGTGGATCTAGGGGGTTCGTACCACCTAGCCGCGCTAGACTCGCTACTCATGTCCATCCTGCTCGGAATCGTCCACTCGTGCCAATAATTCTTTCTTCCTCCTCCTCCTTCTTCCTCCTCCTCCTCCGCCACCTCGTCCACCTTCTGCTATGTCCCGGATCCCAGAGAGATGCTTTCGGTTAGGTTGTTCAACGGAAGCGTACCAGGGGAAATCAGGGGAGTGAAGGGAATACGGGGGAAAGTGGGATGGGAAATTTAGGAACGGTTGCAGATACGCCTCTCGGCCGGAAGCGTGGTCCTCTCGAGGACACGCGTGGAGATCATAGGTAATCCTGGCGTTTCGTTGACAATGGCGACCGAAACTCTTACACCGAGTCCGCACCTTCTGCAACAACAAGAACCAAGAAACATTGAGCGCGAGATGTCGAGTGAAAGAGAACCGTATGCAGAAATGATTCCAACGATTCGGGAGTACATTTTTCGACCGTTCTTCGGATCGAACCTGCCTACACGGTGAATTTATCGGCGCGGTAACCCGTACACGCAGATTAGATAACCGAAAACCGTTCGAAACTTCGCACCGAATGCAGTCACGCTCGTTTATTCACCGCGTCGATGACACCACGTACAATCCAGGTTCGGTCCGATTGACCACTTCGCGTTTTTTCCAGGGATTTAGGCCACGCTCCCACGATCCTACTTCGGTCTCTAGCAGCTGACGAACGTCTTCGATAATCAGGTCTACGTTAAAAAAAAAAACCTTCCATTCGCAGATTACATAACGCCGTGTCTTTCCAACGCGCGTGCATACACCAGACGAGTAAATTAATACCGATGGAAACGCGAAACGAACCACGGAGAACCGCGGAATCCGGTTGCAAACAATCGGTTTGTCGCGCACGGACGTGGAAAGGTGGACTCGTTCGACGGAAAATCAAAGTGAACCGAACCAGCCGAGACGAAAGGTGTCGGATAGTACACGCATATGTACACACACGTGTTTTGTTCGCCGTCCGCCACGAAGGACCAACCGAGAAACCGATATTCGCGCAAGTTCTAGATAAGAGATCCTCGATTCTAACCCGATCGATCCACCACCAATTTCGTGCTTCTTCCTTCCGGCCTGACCGATCGATTTCCCTGATCCTCGATAAACTCGCGAGCACAACAAGAAAGGCTGACCCGGTCGCTTACCCGTTACGATCGCCGATGGTAATCGATCAGCCCGCGAGATTTTGGTTAATTGGGTCCTGATCTGCGCTTCAGTACAGCGACACTGATGATGCCCGACCACTCGACGATCAAGTGCCTCCGAACGATTTATCAATCGCCTGGGCACAGCCGATGATCAAGGTCATCGATGACGCAACAACGAACCGGCCATTCCCCCTACCCCCTCCCTTCCTCTGGCAGGGGGGCGATCGCCCAATCCTGATAGAGGCCCGATGACACGAAAAAGGACGGACGGTTCGGGTCCGCAAGGGATCGACAAAGATCGACCCCTTATCGGACCAACGACTACCTCCACCTCCATATCCACCTCCCCTCCTCCACTACGGCCTTCTTCGAACCCTCTTTACCCGTACCGTGTGTAAACGAGCTCTCTGACTTTTGCGTTTAATTTACCATGCGGAATAATTCCAGCGAAAACGACAGATTTAACGATCCTCTGAATCGGCGAAAGGAACGGAGAAATGGCTGACATCGTTTGTAACGATAACCCGTCGCGCGGGTTTAATCACTGCGACGGCACCACCCTCGACGAAATTGTGATTTTACTAACTTGAAAATTCTACTGACCGTCCTTAATACACGACATGATCTCCCGTTAACTACTCCAAACACTCTCAAACAGAATTAATAGAGTTGTAACAAGGAATGATCCCTCCAATATGGAAAGTACTGAAAGATACACCACCGGCGAGCACACGTACCACATCCAAAATTGTATGTCCAAGGCAAATAAAATACTTGAGAATAAGATCAGATAAGATATAGACAAAAAAAACCGGCCGATAAGATTAACGCCTCGGAATTGGTTACGAATATATTCGATTAATTTTTTCACAAACGTAGACTTTCGATTATCGCGTTTCGAACACTTTGCACGACCCCACACTCGACACTGGAATTTCACCTGTTCATTGGTGCTTCATTATTAATCACATTTCGTAGTATCAAACCATCATTATATGAAATATATATATATATATACATACACGAAAAAGAAGGATACATGTTCAAAGAATGTCCTTTCGAAAAGGTTTCCGTTTATATTCTCCACGAGGCTATTGTTTTCCATCGATTCCTCTTCGAACGGGTCAATGGAAAAACGAATGACGAATGTGTAGAGAAGACACTCGAGATTAGCTCACCCGATATTTCCGACCGATCATTCCCTTAAATCGTGAGGTGGGCCTGGGCGAGTTGATAATCGTCGAGATAAGCGAACCGTGAGACCGATAACCGAAAACTATCAGACGCTTTGGAAGGTTCACGAAGATTGGACGTACATCCAACAAAAATCAAGCAACCTATCCTACTGACGTATAATTTCAACTGCGAAACACGTTTTTTTTTTTTTGTTTCTGACACTCTTGGACCATAAAGAATTAAATGTCGAGTTCGAAGTGGGTTCCCAGAAATATTATGATCCCGCAAATTTTTATTCGAGCCCAGTAGTCACACGTTCCGCTGCTCTGCACAGCAATCGTCTTCGGTGGACTTTGGTCTTTGTTTCGAAGGCTGTTGCCGCATAATTATTAATCTTACGTGTTACGAACGAATCGGCGGTGATTTTCGGTCGCACGTGCATCGCGACGGGACTACTCTCGGACGGAACAAGATTAACGAATCTCGATAAGATTAGTCTTCGCGATACGTGATCGAGCAACGCTCCTCGATGGAGGGTACGTGTATTTCGAACAGGTGGCGCAACTTTGTCGAAATCTATCCACGGTTGAAATCGCAAGAATCCACGAGAAAGTCGAGAATCAAAGGAAAATACCAGAGGGGAAAGAGAAAACTGACGACAGATTTTCAGGGGAATAATCTTATCTACTGGTACCCAGCGATAAGCATCGGTCGCCGCGTTCGGTCCCGTAACGATTTCATAAAATACATATTATTGTTGCTCGAAATTGGCTGATACGAATCTCGCGATAAGTTCATCGGGCAGGAAATTTTTCAAGGTTTTCGGCTTCGAACTCTATGTATATCTACTCGGACGTTAACTTTGATCCCTGATTTTTATACAAGCGCATTGGCTAGCTGAAAATTTGCTTCTCCAACTCGAAATCGTGTCGAAAGCTTCGACAAATATTATTCCAACTAAAGGAAAAATGTACACAGGTGTGCTTGGCTTCCGACACGTTGGAAATCAGATCCTAGGCGTCAGGAACTTTCAAAAAATTTTGTCCACCGAATGACCTATCAAAACCAAGTGAAGAATCCCTTGAAAATCGACTGAATCGAATTTGGTTTCAATTAGATTAACGTTAGTCGGTTACTTTCTCAAAAGAATAGGTTGTGAAACGTGAAAGTGGCAGCTCTGTCGACGAGAATAGATTCCTGCTCGATCCCTGCCGTCGGATAAACACCGATCGAGCTTCCATTCGAGAAACTCGATATCACGAGGGTCGTAGAACCATGTACGAACGGATAGCGACGGAATCACGTTCCTTCGAAGGAGAAATCAACGATAGGAGTCCGTCTGACGTCGTTTCCGAGGAAATATCAAGCACAATTTCTACATCAGCATCATAAAACGATTTCAGCTACAATTCCAAATAACTTGTAGCAGGATCAATTTGCTCGAAGAAAAACAGTGGCCCAAAAAGAAAATACAGACCCCTCTCGATTATCGTCCCGAACTTGGGTCCAGTCAGGACAATAATCGTATAGAGAGAAATGCTTCAGATCCTCATAAATTCGTTTTTTGCTCGGGATTTGGCAACAAACTATGCTTTTGACAGGTTCCACCCGCCCCAGGGATAAACCTGGACAATAATCGTGTAGACCAAGCCGGACGATAATCGAGAGGTGTCTGTAAACCGTTTTCGCAAACGACGAAAGAACCCAGGTCGATAATACGACTCGAAAAATCTCAAAAGACGCCCGTAAATATGGAGTGGCTCGCGGACGAATCGGAGACCCGCGGGCGTTTCGTTGAAAAGAATGTTTATCGCGAAGAAACGAGGCGAGTTGCTTTGAATGCATCGTTGCGCTAATAAGCGGCGGTATTTCGCGGTTAATAAATGAAAACAGAAACCGACGGCCGTTTATTATACTTGCAAATTACCAATTATAGGCCGCGCAAACTGCCAGCAAATATTCCCTCCCTCCTGTCTGTCCTTTCGCGAGGGGGCCACCGTGCGCGGCTTTGGCTTTTCCCTTCGAAAACGACCGCGCGTGTTCCCTCTCCGATCCACCCTCTCCGTGTATTCCCAGCATTCATCCCCACAGGTCTAAAGAACCGTTCGAAGATACAATTTCAATAGAGTGAAGTGAACAAAAAATGTTGCCCTTCGCGTAAGTATCGTGATCCGTCGGACACCTACGCAAGAATAACGTCAGATCGTGCGGTTAACACAATCTTCGATGCGATCGAGAAAACGGAGAGTCTAGTGCGTCCCGGAAATCTGGGCAGTATCGAGAAGAAAATGTATACTTCTGTCCTTATCGAAGATCTACATATTACAAACATGATTCATGGTGGTACGATGCAGACGATACGATTAATAACAAAATGGGAATTACACTTAAATTGGGTTTGACTATTTCATGATATGTATATAGATAGTCGGTTTACGAAAATATTTTTCTAACAATATTTTGGAACGCTCGACCAGATTTGACCTTCCGCCTCAGTGGACATCTGGAAGAACAAAGGAAAATTCCTGGCTCGCGAAAAGTCTCTGGCTAGCGCGCAGCAGGATCCTTCGGATGAATCGACCGATCTACCTGCCTCCGTCGGAATCCGATCGACTTGGGGGACTCTCGTCGCTTCTTAGAAATCGGGGATCATGCAATCGACCGTAACGAGTTATATTATTCGACGATCGGTGTCTAATTTCCCCGTGGAAAAGCTGTAA